TGTTATCGCTATTTTACTGTAACGTGGAACATCGAATTGCCTGTTGTCGCCATCTACTACCTGGAACCATCGTCATTTGCGGGCGCGACGTCGCACGCGACGCCCACCAGCGCGGTGAATTACGATTCTCTTGTCACATTCCTCAACAGGGACGAATCGAGACGCTGTAGGAGTGCGGCCGGGAAATGCAATGATCAGAGGGAAGAGAGGTGATGATTTTAGGAATTTTCTTTTTCTCATCACTACGGTGCGTTATACACCAATCTTTGCATCACTGGCACCATTCCTCTTGTGCCATTGACCCTCAGTGACTAGGATTACACCTCTACTCCAGCGTAACTATGCTCTTTCAAAAAAGAGCGATTTCAAGTGTATCACAACAACACAAGGCAACTGTTTATAAACAGAGGTAGAAACAATCCATGAGGTAGGAAAATGAAAACGCCCTAAAACGCCCTATGACAAGCGGTAATCTCTAATCGTACGAAATTCACTCACTTATATGCTAGTAAAAGAAGCAAATACAAATAGAAATCATGTATATCACATAAATAACTGGCTACTCATCAATACTAGAAATCTGACAATTCACAGCAATTATTGTTATCCTGAAGAAATTTGTTGTACCGAATCTGTTGAATAGTATTTGCAGACAAAAATGGTAACACGTACAATGACAAGTATACAACCTGAACTCTTACTCTACCCTATCTAGATTTCTTGACACTTGCAAGGAGCACACCCCATTTTCTGGGGTATAAGTTGCATTCGCAAGGTCGCAAAAACGCAAGCGAAAGCGCGCGCAATACGTTTCGCGACGCGGCCGCAGTTGGCTCGCGGCGCGTAACGTGCGCCGTTTGAGGCGAAGGTGCGCCTTATACTTCAGAAAGTGAGGGAACAAACACGAGGCACTATCTACCCTTAACGACCTCTACCATGCAATATTCTGATTATATTTTTATTGAAATTTATCCCCAAAGGTAGTTCCACCAACTGAACATAATGAATATCTTACATCAGTTTTGCAAGAAAACGGCTGGCACCGGTGCCAGCGGCAGAACGCTTGAGACTCTTGACCAGCGCTTCTTGTCGCCTATGCTCTTCCTTCCAGCGAGGGAGCGCTCTTGGCGCTATCGTAGTTGGTGAACCACTTTTTAGCGCCTCCGTACCCTTGGCCTACTCAAAGCTCAGGCTAACTGAAGACTGTTTCTTTCCGCGGGACTATCTCTAGGTGACTATGGTCGTATAAGCCTAAGCCTTTTCTGAGAGCAGTGATATACAGACGCGACCAAGTGCTCCGCTACAAGTTAGCGCCAAATCTGTCACCAGGGGGGGGGTCTGCCTCCGTAGACCTCATTCATAGTTCGCAACGCATGGAGATAAGAGAATGGGCGCATTGGGGGACGGAGAGATGCACAAGGGAAAATATAACTGTCGATCCGAAGAATCAGGGAATCCTTGCCGTAGAACTGAATAGGAATTGATCTACTACAACGCACCTATTCTGCCGACTCGTTAATGTGCAGTGCGCAGAATCGATCAAATCTTACCCATTCCTTTGACGCGCATTCTCAGGCAGAGGCTATAGACGCGAACGCCAGCCGCAGACGGGATTGATCGACGCCCCCCACCTAAGTATTGAGAGAGTACGGAGAACAGGAGGGTACGCGTTGCTCAATCAGCGCAGCCGGTGTCGATGGGTACTGGCCAATAGGGCGGCGCCAATGGTGCCGATCGATTCCCCTCTGCGGCCGCGTACGCGTCTATAAGATTGGGGCGCTGCTGCAACTATATCGCGTCGATGCGCGTCACAGCGCGTCAATGCACGTCATCTCGAAGCCCGAATGCTGCCTCATCTCACATCTTCCAAATCGATACTTGTTTTTTTTGCGCACGCTCGCCCAATTCGTGCATTCTCGTACTTTCCCTGTCGCGAACTATCAACGCGGTCACATAATGGGTTCGCGAACTATCAACGCGGTCACATAATGGGTTCGAAGAATCTGTGCTTGAAAAGTGAGGTCGTGAAGGGTAAATAGCGTCAAATAGGACGACTTTCACATAATAACTATTCAGCGAGAGCTTAAATTTCTATCACAAGCTGATTAGATCAAACTCTAGCTAACATACATATATGAAAACAAACTCTAGGAGGATCAAAACTCAGGTCAAATAGTTATTTCGAATCATTCAATGTATGGATGAGGTAAAATTAATCGGTTAAGCAAGCCATGTATACTGGTAGTGCTCGATAGAGACGGACATACACGCGCGGTCGAAGCCGTTATAACGAAGTGCGCTTTAGAAGAACAATAACAATAATCACCGATGATGAAGGGAAAAAACCTCGTTGCACTTTTAGTAGAGATCAAAAAGCAATATAGAACTGTAACACTACCGATGCTATGCGATACAACTTCTCTATAAAGAAAAATAAATGAATGAAAAAATGATTAATGAAAACCTGGGCAAACAAGTATAGTATGGCATAATTCCATAATGTTAGAAGGGTAATAACTATACAGGGAAAAAGTAGTTAAATTCTATCACAGAAATTAGCATGGTACATCTCACCATCATATCTCATGCATCAACTCGTCCAAATATTGAAACGCTCTGAAATACTATTCTATCTGTACCGTACAAGGCACGCCCACGTTCAAAAGGGACCAGTTGTACAGCTTAAAGACAGCTCCCGCGATAAAAGTCTCATGGATAGCTGCTTTCCAATTATGAAACAGCAGCTGATAAGTAATCTCCCAAAGAAGAAAACAGGCAAGAAGCGTTCTCCAGAACAACATAAACAAAATCGCTCCCTCACAGTTACACCTCCCTGCGGTCTCTGTGCACCCCTAGCTCACAAATCTCTCTATCACATCTCGCAGTAGTTGATATCATCCAGTGCAAAAAAGAATACAAAAAGAAAACAACAAAAACGCAGAGGAAAAACTCTGGGAAGGAAAAAGGAATTTTATCAACACGGTGTCTGAATTTGTGATTACGGTAGCGCACCTTTTGTGCGTCGTGGTTTTGCATCACGAAAATTGCGTCACTCGTGTTTTTTACGCGTTTCACCTCGCGAAATGGGTTGAATTGAATGTATATACCTCCAATGAGTAAACTGTAATGAAGGAGAGCAGAATTATCCAGGGGCATTAGCAATGCCCGCCGCCCCAACTAAGAACAAGTGAGTGGCCTCCGTCGGAGGACATCTAGCAAGTAAAGGCGGTCCGACTGAGGAGGAGTTAGAACTAGCACTTTGAGCGGCTATAGCAGCCTCCACGCTCACAATAGAGTCGCGAAAGGTGAACAGTCTTCTAGCTTGGAGGCTAGACTACTTGCACAGCAAAGGCGACCACGAGCCACTTTGATCGCGGGGGCTGTCTTTAAGTACTGAGGACACGCTGGCGAATACATAAGCGAAGAAGAAAAAGCAGAAGAATTAGCTTGAAATGCCTTATGAAGAACGCCATCCAAGCAGCGTTTGTACGCGCATAAAGCGGTGAAAGGGTGTGGTCGGGTTTTAAATTGCTGGTGCCAGCTCTCTCTCCTTATCATCTCACTCTCACCATTCGAAGAGGGCTGGCAGCGGAACAGCATTACCACTTGTAAGCCTTTAGAAATGAATGTTGGGCGTTGCCGTGGCCAGAGGGCGGGGACATGGCCTCGTCATGAGCGGCACGCGCATCCTCTTTGCACTTCTACAGGGTGGCAGCAACAGTACTATGCTCGCGGCTGCGCGGCTGTCTGTGTGTTTGGAACAATCCGAGGAGAGCATGTTCTATGGACAAACTTTCAATAGTTCTCACAGGGAATTGTCCTGGTGCTTGGATCCTCAGGGGGGGGGGCAGTCAATTTTTTTGGAGGGTAATATTGTGACTTTGAAAGAAGCCGCTTTCGGTTAATTGACTTTCTCTAAAACGAGTGTGCTGACCAGATCACCCACCACCCGCCCCCCGCTCCGTGGAAAACTTACCCGTGCGCGTAGGCGGCGCGGTTTTTTGACGTCACCGCGGCGCCAGGGGGGGGGGGGGGGCGGGGGACGATGGCCTATGCTTCCGCCTTCATGCTCTAATCAGCAGTCGCTTTTATTTGTAAGGAAAAAGAGAAAGAAGAGAGAGGAAAAACAAATAGTGGATGCTTATAGGCGATTTAGTGGAGTGGTGAGCAGAGAATACAAAAAAGGCGACTATCAGGGCAAATTACTTCAATCGATGGCGAAGACGGCGAAGTAGTCAAGTTCGATTGAGAAACGACGCAAACGGCTCTTAAACAAACGTTGTGGAGTTATAAGGCCACAACCAGCAGTTTGACAATTTGCCAAACCTTCGTCGTCCTCACCTTATAACGCTTGTGCTTGGGTCGTTTCCCGCTCGAAAGGGGGCTTTTTCACCAGTTTCGCCATTGATTGATGTAATTCGCAATGACAATCGACTTTTCTACCACTAATTCAGCCATAAGCATCTAATCTTTTGTACAATGTCCTTTTTTCCTTTTCCCCCTCTTTTTCCTTCCACGTCAAAGCGACTGCTGATGCTGGCAAGCACAAAGGCGGCAGGTCACATCGGTCCGTCGTCGCCTCGTCCGCCGCGGTGGCGTCAAAGACCAGCGAGCATACCGCAACGCGTGGGCTCTCCCTTCCGCTCCCTCCACACGGCGCTCGATGGTACTTCGAGGTTATGGAGGAGAAGAAAATACTTTTGGTGTTTTGGGAAAAAAACTGCGTAAGGAAGTGGAAGATAGGATGTAGGAAAGATCGAAGGCAGAGTGAGGGAGAAGAGGGAGGGGGATCCCGGAAAACAACTTGAGAGGGGGCCGAGTTTTATGCATGTGAATTCTTCCCAACGGCAGTACATAGATTCTCAACAAACAATTTGAGGCTGTTCCATAAAGAGGAGCAGCACTAGGATTACGGAAATTCCAGCTTCGCGAAGATCTATCATTTGAGACGTAGGGGTAAGAGGGGCGGGGCAGGAGAAATTGTCAGCTAGAAAAAATACTTACCTATTCATCTTCACCTCAATCCAGCACGGGCATTCACTAATGCTTTTGCGGCTATAATCCGGACCCCAGCCTTTGACAAATGATATTCGTGCCACACAAAATCGTTTCATGTCATCTGCACCCTTTTTTGCTTCCTGAAATCAGCTCTTTTTAGTCCATGGAACGAATGGGTAACCCAACCGAAAATTTTCGACTTCACACTGTTACAACATAAAAGCGGATACTACCACGAACGCACTGTAAACTTACACAAGCTGTATATTCAGCCACCAATGACCGCATAGTGATCTCTTCAACCTGCGATTTCGATTACTATTCTACTATTCTGTTGAAATGAATGTGTGTTTTATTTAACTAGTCTTCAACTAATCTAAAGGGAAAATACAGGGCGCTATTTCAGCAGACTGGGCATATTGGTGTAACAGTTGGTGCGAATTCGAAAACCCCACTCCTGCAAAAAAGCCCTTTTAATTTAGGAAATGTTCGCTTGCGTTCATACTTTGCGGCTGCGACTACCAGCGTCAGCGACTAGGAAAGAAAAAAAAAAAAAAAAAAAAAAAAAAAAAAAAAAAAAAAAAAAAAAAAAAAAAAAAAAAAAAAAAAAAAAAAAAAAAAAAAAAAAATCATGAATGCAGCGTCTTCCAGCGTTTACCAGCGTTCACCATCGTTAACCAGCAGGAGTAGAGAGTACGGGAAAGTAGGAGGGTAGCAAACAGCTGGATTAGGCGTCGTGAAATCGCGGTGCGTGCGACCGCAGCGCACATGTACTAAAGCATAGAAATTGTGGGGGGGGGGTGAAATTCAATGTACAGTGCGTGTAGTTGTACGTGTTCTGAGCAGCTGCACACGCGCAATTCCAACCAAAGCTGTTTTGCGCCGCGCCTTGCACGACGCCTAATCCAGCTGTTTGCTACCCTCCTACTTCCCCATACTCTCTACTCCGGCCGCTGATGAACGCTGGTGGACGCTGGTAGACGCTGGCAGACGTGCTGCCGGACGCGCGGAACGTAGTGATCGCCAGTGGACGCTGCCGTCTTATACAGCCTGATTTGCTGCAGATGATGAGGTGTGTCCGCGCGGCTGCGTTTGGCACGCCGCCAAACCCATTCTCTACCCTCTTTTGAAGCAATTAAGTGGCAGCAACTGATGTAATACGACTTTTACGAACGATATGGAAGCCTTGTCGCTTGCCGAAAGAAAAAAAAACGGATTGGCACCGCGCAAACGCTTATTCGCAGCGAACCATACTGTACCAGCTTCATTTCTCCGCCACTTTTCATTTCATTTTCTGAATGTTGGAGGGAAAGTACAAAGAAGCTTCTGCGGCCAGGGGTGCAGGTTACTAATGCATTACCCTATTAGCTACAAGTTTATAATTAAGGATGATATTCACCACACTTTCAAATCCCCTCCCCTTGGAGTTCTGCCCAACCCATGTGCACCACTTTGCTGGAATAGCGCCTTCTATAGACTAATCCTTCAAAAAGGCTATGAAACTTATTGATATTCATTCATTCACCCAACCGGCTTAAAACTGACCACGAAAAAATTATAAAAAAAATCTAGAGTATACCTCGTCAAGTTTGTCCTTTTTGTACATTCCGGAACAAATCATCCATTGGCGTCTTTTGGCCGGATAGATATTCTCTCGCCATTTGGCACGCCACCATATGTTGACGAAGAATTGCTTTGGCATTATTCAAATCGAATATCTAAATCAATACCTTGATTTTAGCCACAATTCAACGACAAAACCCCAATTGCTTCCAAGTCTTGGCAATCTCAAATGGGGGGGGGGGGGGAGGGTGTGGGAAGTGGGAGCGAAAAAAAGTCACCTCACCCATGTCACGCATAAGCAAGCAAGGTTTACGAAAATCCAGTACTGAAAGATTATACGACAATTCTATGCACTAAGAAAAATGTTGTGATTATCTTAACAACTAAAAATTGCTCATATTACATTACATTATTACTTTCCACACCGAATATGCACCTATGCCTTAGCGCTGCGTCACACCAACAACTTATAATAAGCCTCACATGGGGCAGGACAGAGGAACAAAGAGAAATAGGTATGATTCCCTACAAATATCCATGAAATTCTATTTGGCGCGGGGCCAACAAATTCAACAACGGAGTCAAACACGTTCTGTCATCTCCAGCGCAGGATGTGGCTACTTTTCACAACTGGAAACAAACCACGCGAGCGAAAAAAAAACCTGAATAGAGACCCCCTTAGCAGAGGGGGCGGCGTCTTGGAGGAGTTTAACGGACGTAGGCAAGCCCAGTCAGCAGGATTCGACGTGCAACCGATTCCGGCAAGAGCACAGGAAATCACCCTACGACGCTCCAGGCAACGCTATGTACACACGCGATTCCGCTTGTAAGAACGTTGTCTTGCAAGTGAAAGTAATCGTGACGGCAATGGTGGCAATAATTACGCGTCGTTTCGAGTGACGAAAGTGGTATATTCGCTGCGAATGCGGACAACGATGCCAAATGCACGGAGGCATTTCGCGGACCACTTGATTGCGGGAATGTCTTTAACGGGCGCAAGTCTGAGTCATTTATAGTGCAGGACAGGACTGGCTACAACCAGAACTGAGCAAGCCACGGCCGTAGTCACACGCTGGGAATCCACGCATCTTGGCCCTTACAATATCGAGCTGTTCTCAAGATACTCTGCTCTAAAAATCGCATGGTCGATGGTCAAAAGCTGTCTGGCGCTACAGCAGAGGATAGAACAAATATGAGAAGCGCAGGGTTGCGCAAAACGCACATTCATCGCTAAGTGTATAGGTGAGCCTTTTCTTTTTCCACTACAGCTGCGTTCATACTTTGCTGCATCGCCCGCCAGCGTTCCCAGCGTTCGCCAGCGTCAGTGACCGGGAAAGTAAAGATAATATCGATCTAGCGTCTGCCGCGGCCCAGTACCATCGGAAGTGGAGAGTATGGCGCCTTAGGAGGGTAATGGACAGCTGGTATAGAATGGGGAGATAGGAGGGTAGCAGATCGCCGGTAGATAGTATGGCGCGATAGGAGGCTAGCAGACAGCTGAAGAGTATGGGACGATAGGAGAGTAAGCAAAATGGTGGTCGCTGGTGGACACTCGTCGACTGGCCAGACGCTAGATCGCTGACGCTGCTGGACGCTCGGAATGCTGGCAGCGCTACTGGTGGACGATGCGCAAATACGAACGTAGCCCAATGCTTCCTCTTTTTTGCACTCTTGAAGAGGGTGACCGTTATTTGCAGCAGCCTAAACAAATTCGCGCGATCATAAGGAATATTTCAGTTGCCAAGTCAGCCGAGTTTTCTCTGATAAGCTAAAATATTCCAAACTAATCAACAGCTTTCACTGCCAAAACTCATTACAGTTACAATAACGCTGGAAATATGAAACAAAAATAAACCTTTATTTAGCGCCCGGATAGACTTGATGTAGCAACATGCAACCGGTACTACCGTCTGAGTTCTCGATCAAGGTAATGAAGAATGAACAAATATAAAGCCGCCCGTGTAACCTGGACCGCCATAGCGTCACCGCTTTCTTTGAAGCGATAAACGGATGGCCATCCTCCAATTGTTTTGCCTGGAAGCCGATGTCTTCAGAAATGCGATACGATAAGACAGGACAAATTAACATAAAAACGAATGAGGAACCTTTCTGGGAAACCACCATGCGGAAAATATAACTTTTTACCTCACAAGATGACAATTGTGCTCTCGAAGGGGATTGTTCTCGCGTCCAAGACAATATCTATTTGAAGCTTGGCCGAATCCACCATCGATGTACATATCAGAATGCTTCACCTAGAAAAAGAGAAAGAGAGGACTGGGGCTAACAAGGACCGGAAGGTGCAAAAAGCATTTCACGAGTCAGGGACGAGCTTTTCCACAAACGGGACTCTGAGGGGGATGAGCTACTCATCCTTCGTGAAAACTGGGACTGTGTAAAATCACTGTGGTCATGGAATGGTTGCAAACGTGAGGCGAGAAATAAGGTTGGCGCAAGCTAAGGAACAAGTTCGGGTCCCTAAGCTGTTTAGGCTTAGTAGAGCGCAGACGACTAGAGTCAACCAGAACCTGCTTAGACTCGGAGAGCGCAATGGGGCGGGTTTCGTGCCACCGCCTTGCTGCCCTTGTCAGCCATATAAGTACCCGCAAACACCCAAAGAATAAAGGCATTCACGCACTTGTACAAAAGTGGTACGGTACGTAGTATTAAGTCCGGTTTTCAGCCACACAAGTTTGGCAGCATGTCGCGTGGATGGGAAGATGAAGGACATAAGGGGGGGGGGGGGTGGGGCTGGATGGTTGTGGCAAAGCTCTTATCACAAGCAAACATTGGAGGCGCGCATTACGGGGGAACCGACACATTCGCATAGCGAATTTACCCACGGCTTCATTTCCTCCTCCAAAAAAAGCGGTGGGCGAATGCAACGCCCAACATTTTTCTCGAGAGGGGGGGGGTGTGGAACTACTCAAAAAATACATTCACCGCTAGAAAATGGAATGTCAATTTAAACATCATCTCACCTGTAATCTTCCAATCTGTACTTCTTTCTCGTAATACACGAAACATCCCCAGTTGGAGTCAACTAAATAATAATGATTACAATTACAGCAGAAGGGGCAGTTGAGTGACGGGGTGGATAGACAGGGGGGGAAGGGGCATTTTTGCACATTTTGCTCTTCCCATCGACGTTCGACCACATAGAGAGCCGTTTTTTGAGCATGAGAGGTTTTACCATGTTTGGCACGACGAGCTTGACAGCTTCACAAGAGCTCACAGGTTTCATCGGAATGAGACTTGTGAACTGAAATAAGTGAAGCAGCTGATGCGAAATGCTCCCTCACCCGTCGCCGAACTGTTCCCAGTAGTAGTTTTTAAATACATAAAAGTTTGAAGTACCGAAAAGATAAGCACTCACCGGGACACGACGGTGGCTCAAAACTGTTCACTTTCAACTTGTTTCCAAGAACGAATTCCGCATTTACTGAAGTACCTCGAAATTAAAACGTAAGCAAAATACTGAAATAAACTGATTCAGTTTGCACAAGGGGACTTAAAGACACACTGCACGGTTACCTACGAGGTGGATACAATCCGTGCGCGAGATGGGCGGGTCGGCAGCCGCAGCACGTTCACCGCCTTCTAGTGCGCTGACATGAAGCAGAAAGGTTGTCATCGCTGGAGTTCTTTACCTCTAAACCCGCTACTCGATATGCGACACACACGCCACACTTATTATAGCAGGTATGTCATCAACACGTTCGCTGCAGGACCTGGTTGAAGAAGATCACGCTGCAAACGTGTTGACACGCAGTCGAAATCCATCTATAGAGAAAGAGAACAGCGCTCCTATCAAACATGAGAGGACGCAGGCAAGTAACGCCTCTTGCTACAGTTAGACGTATGTCTGGCCGTGCGGCGTGCTGCGCCTCCGTGATCTGCTCGTTGCGCATTGAATTGCGGGCAGAGACATGAATAACTTTCAGCTACACAACTCTGCAGCGTCATTTTATTGCATTTTAGGTGGCAAAAATGGTTGTGCAGCCATGAAGCTGTTCACCTAACACATAAAAGATTTGAAAGCAATGAAAGGTTGTGCAGTGCGTCTCTGAGTTGCTTATAACTCACATAGATTTCCATAAGGCTGACCGGGGACGGGTCGCGATAGATGTTTCTTGTCATTCTCATCAGCTATGATATTCGGCACGGTGGTAACTTGACTTGGGTGAACACAAGGGTTCTGTTGCTCCTTTACTAGTTTACTGCGGCATCATCCACTTGCCGCTGTATTGGTAAGAGTAGATGTTGTTGTTGTTGTACGAGTGATGATGGATTCGTGAAGGCGGAATGCAAATGCTGTTGAAGATGAACTGATTGAGGATTCTGGATATGTGGAGACGTCTGCAGGTTGACATGAAGCTGACGATTCTGAAGTTGCTGAGCATGCTGCTGGTAAAGAAGCTGCTGAGTGTTGTTCAATAGGGCTTGTTGATGCTGCTGCTGAGGGTCCTGCATCGAACGACTGGCTTGAAACTGGGCAGGATCAAACCGAAGATGTGAAAAATCTGGCTGGGATGGTTGTTGTTGCGGTTGTTGTTGTTGTTGTTGTTGTTGCAGGATTCCATTTGGAGGCAGCATAGCGGCAGGCTTAATGGTTACCATATACAATGTGAAACAAACAGTTTCAGTCTTATCAGTCATCAAGTGCGTAATGAAAAGTATTTGGAGAGAATAATTATAGTAATTAATGAAATATTATTGAAGAGAATCGTACTCGATTAGTAAGGATATGGTTGGTACACGAGAGAGGGTAACCGCAAACGTGTGTTCCACCTCTGGCGGACCACTAGCGTGTTCACCGAGGCCGAACAAGAACAGGAACACTGAGAACTAACAGCTCTTCTTTCACTGGTAACAAAAATAGTGCTACAAATTCTCACAAGAGTAGTGTCCAGCTTCTCTCTTCATCAAACCTCGGCATAAGTGTGAAGTTTTAAGTTGTAATTTATTCTGCCAAAGAGGTTGCTATAGTGTAGTTCGCTGCGGACGGTTGGGCGTGTCAGGCGGGATGAGTTTGGCGCGGTGCCAAACCCGTTCTCCACCAGTTGTTAAAGCGAGCAAATGATATGACTGTATCATATCGTTCGTATTACTCGTTTTCTACCACTTTTTGTCGCATGC